TTCTCAACTCCTGCCTACATTTCTGTTCATATGTTCAGCCTTTATTATTCTTCCTGTGAAGAACATTTCTTCACCCCTCTACTGGGTTAATGATGGCTGGGCCACTGCAGGTTACTTAACTTTTCACTGAACCACTTACTTAGTAGCTTTTAGAATCATTTAGTTGAACAATATGCTTTTTAAATTAACTGTTCAGTTAATTTCAATTCAACCGACATTTACTAAGCACTTGTTATATGATATGTATTGATCTAAATGCTATAGGAATTACATAGAACACTTTTATCATTTGTTCATGCAGTCATTCAGTAAACATTTTCTTGAGTACCTGCTAAGGACCAGATTCTGGATTTGGGGTTTGGTTTCAAGAAATTGAATTGGACAAGGTTTCTCCTTCAAGACATAGAATCAAGGAAAAGTTATAAAACAGTGTGGTAATTTTAGTGATCTAGATATGAAAGTAGGCATTATGGTCGTCTTTGGAGAGACTGCTTCACCAAACCCCTTTGGGTCAGAAAAAGCTTCATAGCAGGAGATACGCTTAAAGGCTGAGTAGGGGCTTAGAGTCCACTGGAAAAGTAAGACCCATATACTAGGGGTTAGTTATGTTTGGTTATAAAGCCAACTTCTAAGTTCTATGTGTTATCATTGACTTCCCCACCCCTGCTGCCCAGAATTGCATACATGCAACATTTGCCTTTTTTCTGGTTAGTTTAGGGGCCTCAGAACCAGTGTTTGGGACCTAATTACTGCATGAATGCGTATTTCTGTATTCCAAAGTAGGAATAATAACATAAATACATAAAAATAATCTCATGATGGTAGGACACTTTACAAAGTCTTTCCCCATCCATCATCTCATCTCACCTGTTCTTATAGAACAGGTTAGTGCCTGTGGGTTTCCTTAGTGAGTATCTTAAGCATTGTTACAGATAGATATTAGCACAAGAATTAGCACTGAATAATTATGTATGGAGGATTTACAAATAATTTTTTCTCTCTTTATTTCAAAGTGATCATACTGTATTGTCTGATTTTATTTAGATCACAGACCAGCTCTGCCCATAACCAGGTATCTAAGAAAGAGTCCCTTCTCTACTCTGTGCCTCACATTTGTCACTTGTCAAATAGGAATATTGCTACTATTGTAGCAATATTGTAATATTACAATATTGTAATACTGACAATAATACCAATTTCACCTCATTGGCTTGAGGTGAAGAATAAAATCATTAATCCATGTGAAAACACAATATATATAACTGATCACAGTTGAAAATACAAAATGTATCTTTTGAGTGACCAGATTGTTGGCTACTTTGTCAAGGTCAATTCAGCTTAATTAAATAATTTTCACTTGTTTCTTAAACTTTCTGAGGTAGCTTTGTCTTACTTTCTTCTGTTTACCCAATAGTGACTGCTGGCAAGTGCTGTATGTTCAGTAAACACTTGTTGATTGCATTTTTTAAAGTACCGATCTTCTGAAGTCCAGTGCTGGAAATTTGTGAGCTACTTATATTTCTGCTTAGCATTCCTCAAGCCTCTGATTTAATTTCTAGATTATAAGTTCCATTGATAGAACCCTTATAAATATCACATGAAGAAGATGAGCATTACCTTTAGGCCATGCAATTTACTTTTTAAAAATCTGATTAATTTCAACACAATCAGCCAGGATGTCAGAAGATCTCAGTGCCTTTGATAGATGCTGACAGGTGAGGAAATTAAAATCAGGGAGGGAAGCAATTAAATACTGGCAAACATGACTTTAATGAGACAACCAAATTGTTCATAAGCCATGGAGTACGTTGTATTCTTGATAAATGTCTTAGGGTATCAGGTGAGCGTGCATTTAAAAATGTTCTTCATATGGGATTTGATGATGGCAATGAAGGACATTCCACGTCTGTCATGTAAAGCCTTTGGCCTAATCTCACATTTCAATTGCTTTTGGGGTCAGACTTCCTAATAATCATGTTTAAGATTATGACATTGTTTAAGTTATAAGTAATCCTCTCACCACCACCTTTACCAATCCATAAAACTTACCAAAATGCACAAAGTCTAGACAAAATAATTCTTGGCCTTTTCACAGTGGCTTAGGGACAACCATGGTCAAGACCCATGGAAAGAGAGGTAGAAAAATGTATATTTAATACAACTTCTGATGTAAAAGACTTGGGAATTGTAGTGCTAAAACCAGAACCCAGGTCCTCAATCCCCATTCCAGTGTTCTTTTTAAGATAACCCCCCCTTGTTCAGAAAGAAAATCTGGGACCACAAGACTGAAGACTTACTTGTTTATTGGCTTAGAGGAAGTTTTTACAAAGCTCTGTCAACTGCTCATTTGTACTATAGCACTTGTAAAGTATCAAGTATTAAGGGGCATCTATACATTGACCTTAGTGATTCTCATGCCATTTGGTTGGAATTTTTGTTCATAATGTCAGGATCATCATCTAGAGTTACGTTGCCTAAAAAGTGTTCTGGGGTGCAGTGGTCAATCCAGAGGTTACCATGGTTTGTGAAAAACCTGTCGAAACAGGTCTCTCTGCTCTCTTCATTTCTCATGTCCTCCCATTCCTCTCTTCTTTTTTCCTTATTCCCCATCATTTTTCTTTCCTCCCTCCCTCCCTCCCTCCCTCCCTCCCTTCCTCTCTCTCTCTCTCTCTCTTTTCCTTTGCCTCCATTGTTCTCTCCTATTTTCCCCCAAATACAGTAGAAATGATGAATTATTTTATACTAGTCCCAGCTAGGTTTGGTGAGTCTTGCTTTTGCACTGATTCTAATTAATAAGTTGAAATTTTGTAAGTTAGAGGTTGATCTCCTGATTTCTTTATTTTTGGTTGAAATTGCTTCTGGAGATGAGAACAGTTTTCTTGGGAGAGGATGGGTGATTTGATAGAGGATGCAGACCTGCCAGGTTCTGGGCCAGCAGTCATAAAGTCTACAGAGGCAGCCAAAGATAACTGACTTTATTACCAAGACGCTAGAGTGGGATTTGTCATTTGTCCCAGATGTCTTTATGGGTCTAGTGGAGAACTCCACTGCATTGGGAAATACTCGAGTTACTGAGGACACGTGCCACTCAAACCGTGTGAGAAGAGGACGGTGAACTTCTTAGATAGAAGGTTTCAGCTTTTCTGCGGTGTGAGATGAAACTTAGTGATGGAGACCCCTTTACGAAAATTCAGTGGTACAGCCTTCTGTTGTTTCTGTGGCTTGTGTTTCAATAGCTTGCTCAAGGATGTCGCATCTCTGAAACTTCACTGGGGAGAGCTGAGAAAGTGTTCATGCTAACCCTGCATCGAACAGTCTTTTGCCTCAGCTTAGTAATGTGTCACCTTCTGGTTAGACCACAGATGTGAAGTCTCTCTCCTTTCACTTGCCAGTGAAGCAGGACTCAATACTAAATGTGCTTTGGTGCCTTGACAATGGACTTTTATTGGGTATATACTCATTTTACCTTTCCCTCCAAATAGAGCGCCCCCAAATGGAAGCCTGCATCGTGTAGTAGAAGAGTCCTTACTTGTTTGGGGATCAAGATACAAGGTTAAACTTTTATCTGTTCCATGTTAACCACGTGATTTTTGAAGTTTGGTTTCCTGATTGGTGGAATTGGGGTGGTAAGATTTCATTGGGGTTATGTCGAGGATGATTTGAGAAAACATGGTCATGAAATATTTTTCAAACTATAAAGCATAATGTTAAAGATGATCAATGTTTTGATATTGGTGGCACATAAGAGTTTCTTGCAGAGTATCCTGTCAACCATGCTCTATTCATGTCATCTGATTTGAGCCCTGTATGAAAATGGGATATATTCATAAAACTTCTCAGAGGTCTTTACTTCTCAGTAAATCTATCCTTATGTTAAAACAAATCCCCTTGTTCTTGCACTCCTGTTGGAAGCTCCATCTCTCTGAACCTAAAGCGTGATACAGGCACAAACTTTAGAATGATCTGTGATAAACCTTCAGGCCATTCACCTAAAGCAGTTTTTTTTTGCTTTTTGGGGTTGAGGGGACACATGATTCTTAACTTTTGAGGTTTTGTCATTTGGAACAAAAGTTCTTTGTGCTGCTGTTAGGTGAGGCCATGTTAAGATCGATATAGATAAATATTGTGGTATTTTAAAACTAGGGTCACAAATCAAGGAAATACCCAACCCAGAGGTATCCTCTAGCCTTGTGTGCTTAGAGCATCATTCTTTGATCATATAAGTGTGGGCTCATAGGAAGAAATGTTACCATTTTTTATACCACCGCTGTCCGTGCCTATAAATATGAAATAATGTAGGAGAATCTTCCACAAAAAGTTTAACTCGTCTTTGGCTATGAAGTAGGTATTATATGCCACATTTACGTGTAAGGAAATTGACATTTGGGGCTTAAGTAACTTGCCTAAGACCATTGGTAAGAGGAAGACAGGTCTGACTGGCTCTAAATCCCATGTGTTTTTGCTACTTCTTCACGTCAATCAAATAGCTGGTTTTATTTCGTTATTCCCTCTTCCACTAAGTCTAGTGGATCTACTCAGTGAGTTGTCTGTCCTTGTGTTTTCCCACCTAATATCCTAGGTATAAAGGAAAGACCACTGGACGAACAGGCAGAGCTCAGAGGGTTCAAACTCTCACTCTGCCATGTACTGTACTATGTAGTCTTGGACAATTTACCTACTTTTTCTGAACTTCAGTTTTCACATCTGTAAAATCAAGACAATAATACCCATTTCCCATGACATTTGTGAAGTTAATCGAGAGATGTTAGTTCCCTTCTCATCCTCCTTTTCACTCTTTGAGCTTCTGTTTCCTCACTTAAGAAGTGGGTAGAATAATCTCTTCCTGCTTCTTCACCAGGTTGTCATGGGGTGAAATGAGATAATGAATGTGAAAGTGTTTTGCAAACAAGAAACTGTGGTATAGATAGAAGAGTTTATGATTGTTAATGAATAAATAGAGCTTGGAACCTAAGAGTAACCTTTACCTGTTTCATTTACAGACACTAGCATTGCAGTTTGCTGAACCTTGTGTCCACTGATCATTCCAAGAGGTAAGAGAGGCTTGGCATCATCATGTTTATGAAATGCTGATAGGCATCTTAGCCAGTAAAGTTTAAGGTAGATTTCACTCCCAACAGAAGAAATAGTAAGGTATTTCATGAGTATCAAAACCTGAAAAATGGCCAAGACAGTGAACTTTGCCCGTTTTATGTCTTCTTGATTTGATTTCTCTTTCAGTTCCTAGCTTTTTAAGGTTCAAATCAAAAGCACAAAAGTCTGGGCACCTTGGAAGTATTTAAGTGTCCACAGTATGCCATGTCCTAGGATGGCCTCTTTTTTAAAAAAAAATTAATTATTGGAGTATAGTTGCTTTACAATGTTGTGTTAGTTTCAGCTGTGCAGCAAGGTGAATCAGCTATATGTATACATATATCCTCTCTTTTTTGGATTTCCTTCCCATTTATGTCACCGCAGAGCATTGGGTAGAGTTCCCTGTGCTATACAGTAGGCTCTCATTAGTTATCTATTTTATACATAGTGTCAATAGTGTATATATGTCAATCCCAATCTTCCAATTGGGATTGGGATTGACATATGTACACTATTGATACTATGTATAATAGTATCATAGTCTTCCCTCCCCCCCCCCCCGCACCCCCTTGGTATCCATATGTTTGTTCTCTACCTAGGATGTTCTTACCTAGTGCCTTCTTGTATCCCCAGTGAGTATATAGCAGGAGGGCTTTCTCTCCAGCTTCCTGGCTGTCAGTTGAGTGCATTTTTCACTACACTATGCTACCAGTGTTACCTGGCTCTGAAGGGGCCAAACTTTACTCGTTGGGTCTGTCACTGCCTCTTAACTGCCCAAAACACATCTCAAAAGGACATAATCTAAGGCTACAACCAAAAAAATCTTAAGAATACAGGACATGAGTTAGAGTCTTTCGAAACCCAGGGCCTATAGTGTCTTCATTCCACTCTCCTGGGGAACCAGTGTGAAGGAGTTGGGACTTTGGCAGAAGAATTCATTCTTCTTGAGTTTGTCAAGAAAACAGTGACCAGTTTAACAAAGACCTGGAATAGCCAAGGCAATCTTGAGAAAGAAAAACGGATCTGGAGGAATCAGGCTCCCTGACTTCAGACTATACTACAAAGGTACAGTAATCAAGACAGTATGGTACTGGCACAAAAACAAATATAGATCAATGGAACAGGGTAGAAAGCCCAAATATAAACCCATGCACATATGGTCACCTTATTTTTGATAAAAGAGACAAGAACATACAATGGAGAAAAGACAGCCTCTTCAGTAAGTGGTGCTGGGAAAACTGGACAGGTACATGTAAAAGAATGAAATTAGAACACTCCCTAACACCATACACAAAAATAAACTCCAAATGGGTTAAAGATCTAAATGTAAGGCCAGACACTATAAAACTCTTAGAGGAAAACATAGGCAGAACACTCTATTACATACATCACAGCAAGATCCTTTTTGACCCACCTCCTAGAGAAATGGAAATAAAAACAAAAATAAACAAATGGGACCTGATGAAACTTAAAAGCTTTTGCACAGCAAAGGAAACCATAAACAAGCAAAAAGACAACTCTCAGAATGGGAGAAAATATTTGCAAATGAAACAACTGACAAAAGATTAATCTCCAAAATTTAAGCAGCTCATGCAGCTCAATATTAGAAAAACAAACAACCCAATCCAAAAATAGGCAGAAGACCTAAAAAGGCATTTCTCCACAGAAGATATACAGATTGCCAACAAACACATGAAAGGATGCTCAAAATCACTAATTATTAGAGAAATCAAAACTACAATGCGGTATCACTTCACACCAGTCAGAAAGGCCATCATCAAAAAACCTACAAACAATAAATGCTGGAGAGGGTGTGAAGAAAAGGGAACCCTCTTGCACTGTTGGTGGGAATGTAGATTGATACAGCCACTATGGAGAACAGTATGGAGGTTCCTCAAAAAACTAAAAATAGAACTACCGTACAACCCAGCAATCCCACCACTGGGCATGTACCCTGAGAAAACCATAATTCAAAAAGAGTCATGCACCACATTGTTCATTGCAGCTCTGTTTACAATAGCCAGGACATGGAAGCAACCTAAGTGTCCATCGACAGATGAATGGATAAAGAAGATGTGGCATATATATACAATGGAATATTACTCAGCCATAAAAAGAAACGAAATTGAGTTCTTTGTAGTGAGGTGGATGGACCTAGAGTCTGTCATACAGAGTGAAGTAAGTCAGAAAGAGAAAAACAAATACTGTATGCTAACACATACATATGGAATCAAAAAAGAAAAAGGTTCTGAAAACCCTAAGTGCAGGATGGGAATAAAGATGCAGATGTAGAGAATGGACTTAAGGACACGGGGATGGGGAAGGGTAAGCTGGGACAAAGTGAGAGAGTGGCATGGACACATATACACTACCAAAGGTAAAATAGATAGCTAGTGGGAAGCAGCCGCATAGCACAGGGAGATCAGCTCGGTGCTTTGTGACCACCTAGAGGGGTGGGATAGGGTGGGTGGGAGGGAGATGCAAGAGGGAGGAGATATGGGGATATATGTATATGTATAGCTGACTCACTTTGTTATAAAGCAGAAACTAACACACCATTGTAAAGCAATTATACTCCAATAAATATGTTAGAAAAAAAAAGAAAACGGAGACAAGTTTAAAAAAACAAATAAGGAAGCATAAAATTTATTTTATGTGTTTAAGGAAGCATAAAAAGTTTTAAAATTTGGAAAATGTGAGTTTTCCTCTGCAGATAACCATCTGATATCTGTACTTCCCAGCTAGCTCCTTTATGCTCTCTATAATCTTCTAGAAGTCTTAGCCTAAAAGAGGTGAAGTAGTCACTATGGTGATCCTAACTGCAGGCCCTATAGAATAGCAACTTTGTGGAAGATTTGATATCAGCATTTCAAGTACTGTAAACATTTTTCTGATGAATATTTTGATTATCCCTTAGGTATGTTCTTTCCATGATCTTTTTTTTTTTTAATATTTATTTATTTATTTAGGCTGTGCCAGGTCTTAGTTGCGGTACGTGGGATCTCTTAGTTGCCACATGCATGTGGGATCTAGTTCCCTGACCAGGGCTCGAACCTAGGCCCCCTGCGTTGGGAGTTTGGAGTCGTAGCCACTGGACCACCAGGGAAGTCCCTCTTTCCATGATCTTAAACATAATTTTTTTTTTTTTTTTTGCGGTACGCGGGCATCTCACTGTGTGGCCTCTCCCGCTGCGGAGCACAGGCTCCGGACGTGCAGGCTCAGCGGCCATGGCTCACGGGCCCAGCTGCCCCGCGGCACGTGGGATCCTCCCGGACCGGGGCACGAACCCGCGTCCCCTGCATCGGCAGGCAGACTCTCAACCACTGTGCCACCAGGGAAGCCCAAACATAATTTGAAAAAAAAATTTTATTGGAGTACAGTTGATTTACAATGTTGTGTTAGTTTCAGGTGTACAGCAAAGTGAATTAGTTATATATATACATACATCCACTCTTTTTTAGATTCTTTTACCATATAGGCCATTACAGAGTACTGAGTAGAGTTCCCTGCAGTAGGGAATTCCTATGCAGTAGGTCCTTATTAATTATCAATTTTATATATAGTAGTTTAAACATAATTTTAATTACACAGACCTTTGAAAGAATTGAGGTTTGTTGGTACTGACCCATATTTGCAGGAGTTAGCAATTTAGAAATGAGTGGAAATTTTGGTGTTACATTAATATGGTTTTCAAAGCTGATATTCATCATACACATGGAATAAGAAGAGGTCATGTGCAAAGAAGGCTGGTGAGGGGGCACATATGGACTGTGAAACTCTTCTATGAGCAGATCAGACCTAGAAGCCACTTGTGTTGTTTAGGCTTTATGCTCGTTTCTACAAAAGAGAGGTTTACTAAAAAAAAAGATGGTAGCCAAAAATACAGGAGTGACTCCTGCCCATCTTTTTGTCCCTCTCTAGTCCATAAAACACCTCTGCAAAAAAATCCTTTCCTGTGTACTTCATGTATTTTCAGGGATAAACACATCAGAGAAGAATGTACTGTAGACATGTGATACCATAATTTCTGGTGGCTCTGTTAGGCAGAGATCTATTTGTTCACTTAGAAACTGCAGTTATTATATTAACTTTCCTCCAAATGCCAGTTGTTAAATATTAATAAAGTAAATTTTGAAAAGTGGTTAACTCTGCCCCCACTTCCTCACTGAAACCCATCTTGAAGCTACAAAGAAGAGTTTAAGCAAGGCTGGAAAGCTTATGAAAAATTGCTCTTGAGAAAGAGGAATTTCATCTATCTCTCTGTCTATCTCTCTATCACTCCATCCATCCATCTATCCATTCATCTATTCATCTATTTTTTTTATTTTGGAAGTAGACTTGGTGGGGAAAAAAGGATAAAATCTTCTCACATAGCCTTTGGAAGGTAGAGAAGTAAATATTATGGGGGCACGCTACAAGAAATTTAAAATAATCTTGTGGTAATAATTGGTGTCAGTGGCAGTAATGAAGAAAGAATAACAGTTTAAATAAATAATTAGACTTGACAGTAGATGTGTCAACAGGTACCCACTTAATTAGTGTAATCATTGTGTTTCTCAGCTTTCAACATTGATCCACTGACTGTGGTGTGTTCCATGTCCCATTTCCAAACCGAATCTATTTAAAGCTGTACTCCATGGAATCTGAAACTGTATCCCCTGTTTACTATTTAGAGCTGATACCTGATGTTCTTTAACAGGGAAGATCTGTACTTGAGCAAGAACAGCCTTCTGCCTTTGGTAGACTGTTGATTATCCTTGTTTTCCACAGGGTGATTCATTAGCAAGGATGAATAATGCACAGTTAATTCTCATGGACTTGTCTATATTGCTACAGTGAATTGTTTATTATAATTTGATAGAAACAGCCCTCGTCTGCCTTAAATCCAATAAATCAGTTATTGTTATTTGAGGTAGAGTTATTGTTATTGAGTTATGAGTTATTGTTATTTCAAAATATT